GAGATCTACAGATCAGAGTGATGTAGGCAGGCGGACAAGGAAGGCCCCTACCCAAGGCAATGACAGTAAATCTCCTGGGAAGCTATAGCTCTGACCTCATGGAGAACTAACTGGCACCAGTTCACCAATCTGTGAAAGACCCTGCAGGGCTGGACATCTACAGGGATGACAGTAGAAGAAATAGAGACCAATTAAGAACCAGAGAGAAATTAACCAGAAACTCCCAAGCTGTTCCTTTGACACCTGACCAACCCCCTCCAACAGAAGCTCCTGAAGAAACAAAAGTCAGGAAAGGAATTTCAAAGAAGACCATCACCACCCCCAACCCCCTTGGTAACCTCCCTAGCAACGGAACTTTTACCTAGGTAGAAACCCCAACATGGGGGGCAAGTTGGAAGAAACCCTATAAAGGCCACCTTGAACAAAGGAAGCGCTTGGATATGCTGCCTGAGCATCACTGGGTGTAACCAAAAAAAGCCAGAAGAAAAAAAGCAACCACATTTGAGCATGAACACCAGCGGGCCACAACCGCATGAATGTATGAAGGTGGGGGCTTTAGCTGGGGCTGAGCAGAGGTCTTTGACCACCCCACAAGGGGTCACCATCAACCCAGCCTGGCCCAGCTCCTGGGCCCTCACCTGCAACAGCCACCCCTGTCACCTGCAGCCGTAGCTGTCCTCCCTTCGCTGGGGCTGGTCAAAGGCGTGGAAGGGAGGGAGTCTCTGATTTGTGGAGGGGCCACAGACAGTCTCGGGATAAGGTGCCTGCCAGGCACCACCCAGGGTCCCCTGAGCACCATGAGGAGTGACCCCTAAGCAAAGAGCCAGGAGTCAGGCCTGAGCACCGCTTGATGTGGTCCCAAAGAAAAAACAGAAAAAACAGTGATGGAAGGGAGAGACAACAGGAGGTGAGGTCAGGTTAATGTAGGCAGGTAGACAGGGAAAGGTCCTTGGCAAATGAAATTTAGATCAACAAAATTTGGGGAAGGAAACAAGACCTGATCAGCCCTTCAGCCAACCCAGAAGAAATTTGATCCCTCACCAGGGGACCCATCAGACTCATCTGCATCTTTTAATCCGATTAACTTTTGGTGGATCAGCCCGGAGAAGACTCAAGAACTTCCAGAGCAAGACGACCCCAAGAGCCTATAAAACCCCGCCCAAAAGCCCATTCAAGACTCTCTCCATTCTTGGAGCAAGTTACACTCTTTCATTCTCTCCACTCACTCCTACTACGCTCTTCTCCCCTTCAATACCTCCAAATAAAATCTGTTCTACTTCACTGCTTGTCTACTCCTGAAATTCCTTTCTGAGAGCGAGACAAGAACCCAGTAACCCTGGGTCCCAGGGGGCAAAGGGGGATTGAGAGAAAGTGCCTGTTTTTTTTCTCCTCCCCACCCACGTGAGCCACCCATAGGGTCCACCCACATCCAACGTGACTCGTCAGTGCCAGGCCTCGGGGTTGCTGCCTGTTAGCACACAGTCCCCTGAGGCCCACCATGCATGGCCCTGTGGATGACCCCAGAACCACCGGCCAGGCTGGCTGAGAATCACCAGGCCGGCCCCCCGGGCATCTTGGGCATCCAAAGAAGTGAATGATTTCACCAAAGCCATGCGAGGTAAACAAATGAAGAGTCGCCACTACATCCCATGAGGTCACTCGCCATGACAAAGGATGACTGTGAGCCTAGCAGCCAGGCCTTGATTTTCTCCCAGGACCAGGGATTAGGAGGCAAGGCCAGAACATAAACAGAAGCGTTCAGCGGGCCGGGCCCGGCAGGCCTAGTAGGGAGAAACTGGCTCTGGTTTTCCCCTGCGGCCGGGCTGAGACCCGGGCGGGCAGGAGGAAATGTGGCTTTCCCACGTTTCTGGAATTGCAGGCTCCGGTTTAAGCCCAGCAACTCTAGACTTCATAAAGCGGCCATTCTCTTAGGCTAATCAAGCCGGCAAATTAATACCTCTGGGAGATGTTTACACGCAGGTGAGCGCATGAGCCAAGACAGATGGGATTTCCCAAAGCGTGAGTGGGAAGAGAAAAACAGGCGGACCACGATGCAGAGCATCCCGGCACTGTGTTCGGAAAGCTCACGCCTAACCTCGGGCACGTGAACTCTCTGGGAATAGCCACGCAACATCCGCTCGGCGTGTCTTGGGAGAACAAAAATCTAGCTAAAGGATGACGGTGACAAGCGGGGTGATGGTGATGGGAGTGATGGTGATGGAGATGTCATGGAGAAGTCACCAAGACAGATGCAGTAACTGCAATGGTGGTGATGGTGATGTCATGTGAAAATCATGCAGTGATGCCAGCAATAGTTGTGATGGTAAAGTCATGTAGATGGTGATGAGGATGATGATGACTATGGTGTTGGTGTGACAGTGGCATGACGACGGTTATCAGTGATTGTGTTGTTTGGGTGGTGGCTTAGTGGTGGTCACGGTAATGGTGGATGGAGGGAACAATGGTCGTGGTGGTTATGTAACGATGATGGCAGGTGATGGTGACTGATGGTGAAGATAATGATGGTGGTGGTGTTGGTGATAACCATGGCTGTTGATGGCAATGGTGGTGACGGTTTTGACCGTGATGGTCAAGATGATGGTGGTGGTGGTGGTGGGAATGAGGTGCGGAGGATGTCAGACAATCATCACACAGGCACTGTTTCCATTTCCATCTCCAGGAAGAGGAAACCAGGTGTCCAGTGACCTCACCTGGACAATAAGAGGTCAGGCCGCCAGGATCCCCACCACCTCCAGATAATGAAGACTGCTCCCAGAGAGGAGACAAGCTCAGAGTCTGCAGAGTTCGGAAAGCTCATGCCTAACCTCAGGCACGTGAGCTCTCTGGGAATAGCCACGCGACATCCGCTCGGCAGATGGAAGGGAGAAGAGAGGCCAGCCCTAGTGAAGCGGTCACTAAAGGGACTTAGATTCCCACTGTATCGAACTTCTCTTCCGAAAAGAGGATTACTTATTTGGGGGGGGGGGGGGGGGGGTGAGTACCTAGTGGTGCTCAGAATTTTTTTTTAAGTCATTGAAACTTTTAATATAGCTTTGAAGTCATTGAAACTTTTAATAGCTTTCAACATTGGCTGATAGAATATTTTAAAGTTCTGATAATTAAAATTTAAAAAATTAACAGAGTAGTACATACAGAACCTGGAACAGAAATGGTGCTTCATTAATTTAGCAATTCTAACACTATGCTTTCAAGGTAAGGCTCCCAAACACCACACAAAATGGCATATCATCAAGTGCTAAATTGTGTGGAACAAAATGGAGGAAATTATGAAACCTTATTCACAAGTGGGCTTGATGAAAAATTAGCTGTCATATTGGGGTAATGAATTTCCCAGGGACTCAGTTACAGGATACAGTTGTTTGGACCCCAATTCCATAATTTAAGTTTGACATCAGATAAAGAGAATTTCTACTTCTTTCTGATTTTTTTTTTTTGCTGCTCAGAATTTACTTCTGACTCTGTGCTCAGGGATCACTCCTGGCAGGGCTCAAGGGATGGTGCCAAGATCAAACCGGGCTTGGTCACTCGCAAGGCCATCGCCCTACCCACTGTACTATACTACCACTCCATCCCCGAGAATTTTATTTAGTAGAAGCTGTATATACTTCAGGTTCCTGAGTAAAGTTCTGATTTGCACGCACTGAGAAGTAATTACTCAAGCTGGTAACATAGCTACCACCTTGCAACTAGCCTGTGTGTGGTCCTCACTCAAGATCCATTCTCTTGGAACTTGAACATCACAAAAATATTTTGGATTGAAAGAAAGCAAATCGGCAAAATGATGTCCTCTTGGTACTGGTGGCAACTGTTTTGTTACAGGGAAAACAAGTTGAAATTCTTGTTCCTAGTGTCATATCAAAGACAATGGGATGATTTTATGACATTTTTCAATACAAAATAGAAAAGCTACAGCAACACACATCAGAAGACACGAAGGTAAGCAGTTATCAAAGCTATGAGCCCCTGGGGCTGGAGCAGTAGCACAGCGGGTAGGGCGTTTGCCTTGCATGTGGCCGACCTGGGGTTCTATTCCCAGCATCCCATATGGCCCCCTGAGCACTGCCAGGGGTAATTCCTGAGTTCAGAGCCAGGAGTAAACCCTGTACATCGCCAGGTGTGACCCAAAATGCCAAAAAAAAAAGCTATGAGCCCCTAAAAGATTTGCTTTTAAATAAAAAAAGGCCAATGTCAAAGTTTTATCTCCAAAATACAACCACTTCCTGTATTTCAATAAACATATCCAGAGCCAGGGAACATCGTGAACGAGTTGGCTGTGGTCCCATTTATAGTTTTCTTTCATTAAGTAAATATTGTATGAGACTTAATACCTTGTTTTACAAATGTAACCACGCTCTTGGTCAAAGACACTCTCCCCTGATTTACTTTTTACAGATCTAATCACTAAAGGTCACTCTTAAATACAACCTGGATATAAACCAGTACTTCCCAAAGTGGGTGAAACCAACAGGGAGCAGGGGGCGGGGCAGTTACCTCAGAGGTAATTGTGGGTTTGGGGGTGCTGTATGTTTAAAAGAAAACATTTCCAGGGGAGCCAATGAGTGTTGCTGGGGCTTCCCCACCACCCCGACCCCCAGTAAAAAGAGCAGCAGCCAAGTAAGTTTCGGAACTGCTACCATAAAGGGCTTCATCAATGACAGAAGTTCCACAAATATGATCACAAGATAGAGACAAGGAAACACTGGAAATCTTATTTCCCCATCAGATGTCAAAACAAGTTTAGTGAGCGCACCAGCCGGGGCCGCCAAGGTTGCTCTGCGGACCCAGCCAGCGGGACACTCACATTCCACACAAAACAGATTCGCTACAACTCTCCCCGCCCCAAACCAATGGGGATGCAGACACCAGCTCTTCCCACGGAAGGCTCTAGGCGCTTCCTTCAATCTACAGAATGTTTCCCATGTGTTGCCTTCAGGTAGCCCGGGAAGGGCCGGTAGGGCCTGATGCTGAGTGCTTCTTACCTTCCGATAGATCATATGGCACATGGCGACTCGCAGCCTCATGCCAGCGCACTGGACGTTGTAGAAATACAGGTGGTGCAGGATGGCCAGAAGGAGCGTGCACGTGGTGAGCACCGTGGCGTAGGCATAAGCCTCGTGCAAAGCTGCCGTATCCGTGGGGTTGTAGTTTTCAAAGTAACTAATAATTTTCCCCAGAAATAGGGGCTGGACCACTTTGGTGCCTTCCTGAAAGAGAAAGCAGGGAGGAAAAGAAAAAATTCATGGATTAGAGCGATAGTACAGCGGGTAGGGCATTTGCCTTGCATGCGGCCGACCCAGGTTCAATTCCCAGCATCTCATATGGTCCCCCAAGTACCACCAGGGGTAATTCCTGAGTGCAGAGCCTCGAGTGTGCATTGCTGGATGTGACCCAAAAAGCACAAAAAAAAAGAAAGAAAGAAGAAAGACAAGAAAGAAAGAAAAGAAGCGTAAGAGCAGGGCGTGAGACAGAACAGTGGGGAGCTTGTGTATCTGACCCAAGTTTAATCGCTGGCACCGCCAGTTGGATCCTTGAGCACAGAGCCAGGAATAATGCCCTCAACACTCCCGGGAGAGGACCCCCAAACAAAACCGTAAATAAAGGCAAGTGAAGAAGGAAGAAAAACTTCAAGCCAGACCAGTTTTCCTGCACGCAAGGTTTTGCTGATGTCATGAACACGTTGGCAAAGGCCCTAAGGTGCCCCATTCAGGGCTCATTGAGCAGAAACTCATCAGATGCCCTGCTCTGCTTCGGAAAAGCATCCCCTGCGATGACCCCCAGGCTGAGTGCCAAGATCATCAAGTTTCAGGATTCCACATTTGGTTGGCCAAACCTGCTTGGGGGCACGGCAGGCAGAAAACCAGGTCAGTCTTGGCCCAGGATGAGGTTTTCCAGAAAGGTGGGACCGGGGCCCAGAGCAATAGAATAGCAAAGGAGGGCGCCTGCCTTGCACGTGGCTGGCCTGGGTTCCATCCCCAGCATCCCCACGGTCAGCCAGGAGTGAACCCTGAGTGCAGAGCCAGGAGTAAGCCCTGAGACCACCGGTGTACCCTCTGACCCCCGACCCCCCCAAAAAAAAGAAATTATGAAATATGGGACTGGAAGGGTCAGGCACTTGCTTATATGGAGCAGTTTGGGACCCCACCTGCTCAACACCAAAAAAAAAAAAAAGGCGAGACAGCTCATTGACAGGAACCCCCACTTCTCCCGGCCACCTGCAGCCTCCAGCGACTCAAGGAGCAACAGCAGGCGAGAGGCAAGAAACCAGAAGTCAGTTCCACGCGGACCCAAGAGTCCAGTTTCCACAGGAGCTGGGGAAAAGAAGCCACACACACACACACACACACACACAACCTCAGCACCCCACACCCAGGGCACAGAGTCCAACAGTAAAATTGCAGCAGCTGCATTTCACTGGAAAATAAAGCCGTCAACCCAAGGTCTCCATCTGCCGGGCCATGGTAGTCGCCGGTTTTAAAGAAATCTTTTTTTTTTTTTTTTTTGCTTTTTGGGTCACACCTGGCGATGCACAGGGATTACTCCTGGCTCTGCACTCAAGTTACTCCTGAGGGTACTCAGGGGACCATATGGGATGCTGGGAACCGAGCCCAGGTCTGCTGCATGCAAGGCAAACGCCCTACCCGCTGTACTATCTCTCCAGCCCCATTTTAAAGAAATCTTAACAACCTCTTGGCAAAATGAAGATCCTGCATACATGAGAGGGGCGAGGGCCGCACACACAGCTGTGAGGAAAGCAGGGAAGCTGCACAGGGATCAGCCTGCCTTGGCCACTGCCCCCTACAGAGCCCCCTCTCCCTCCATCCCTCCCTTGGCCTGTTTGCATCCCCCCCCTGCCCGGGGCAGCCCAGACCCTCCCCAGAAGCAAACACACAGGCCCTACTTCCTCCCAGAGACTTCCCAGCCAGAGAGGGGACAGAATTCCAGCCATCTGACACAGAATCTAGCTTCTCCCTGCAGTCCCCAAGTCTCACCCTGCCCAGAGCAGGTTTGGGCTCTTAGTCCCAGAGGGATCCTGCCAGGAGGAAGGGTCCCAGCAGCCCCGCACAACACCCATCACACCGGTCACACAGGCCTTGCTGGCACAATCTCCCTCCCGCACCCTCCACCAGGGGTGCCTCCAAGCCCTGCACTGTGGCCCCGCTTGCCACAGGTCAGGAAACAGAAGGATGAGTGAGCTAACTCCCTGGCACCCAGGAGGTGGAAAGGGTGCCTGGAAGAGGCCCCGTCAGTCAGCCGGTCCTCAGGCCACTGACACCTGAAGGGTATGAAGACTGAGAGTTTAAGGCCAAGCCCCCAGAAGCCCAGGCCCTCCCACCAAATGTAATAAATCATCGTGAACACTTAATAAAAATTAAATTAAAAAAGAAAAAGAATCTCTGGAGGTCCCGGGGACTGATGGGAGGATTTGTGGTACCCACTGGCTCATTCAACCCCACACTTAACAGAGTTGGCTTCTCCAACTCTGCTGGCCTCTAGACTTGAGGATCCGCCCAGGGAGAGTAGAGGCAGCCAGCAAGGTACAAACAAGCTGGTTGAGTCCCAAATCTAAGGCCAACAAGACAGAAGGCAGCAGGCAGGCCACACCCACCGCACATCTGGAAGGTTCTGCTAAGACAGCGTGCTAGGTGACCAGCTGAGCAAATAGGCCCATTCATGAGCAATGCTGGTTCCCAACCAGCCCCGGCCACTGGCTCTCCACCTACCCCTGCCAACCAGGAACCAAGCAAATGGCCTGGACTCTCCCCCAGGGAGCAAGAGGTCAAAATGCCTCACTAGGGCTGAGTCCAACCGCCACGCTGACCCTGGAGATGCATCTGTCCAGACAGTGGCAGCAAAGAGATTCCCGAGCCGGGATTCAGTCACCAGCACCGGCCCAAGCTGGATAATGAGTCTTCTTGCCTTCGGGACCACGGGGCAAGGGGTTGGTTGAATAAATCAATGGATAACACAAACCCTCCATTCATTGATGGGGGGAAGTCCTCCCCATCAGTCCCCAAGATTTCCAGAGAGATTATTTTTCTTTTTTAATTTAATTTTTATGAAGTGTTCACAATGATTTATTACATTCTATATTCCAACACTCAGAAAGAGAGGGACAGACATAGAAGGACTGCACTCATTTGTGCAATATAAAGTAACAAAATGAGAGACTAACAGCCAAGAATAGTAGAGATGAGTACCAGGAGGACTGCTCCAAGGCTTGGAAGCTGGCCTGACATGCTGAGAGAAAAGGCAGCTGAGACAGAGAGGGGAACACCAAGAGAAAGATGCTTGGAGGGCTCGCTCGGGATGGGAGATGCGTGCTGAAAGGTTAGACTAGAGACTGAACATGATGGCCACTTAGTACCTGTATTGCAAACCATAACACCTAAATGGGGAGAGAGAGAGTGAAAGGGAATGTGTCTGCCACAAAGGTGGGGTGGATGGGGTGGGGGTGGCAGGACACTGGGAACATTCGTGGTGGAGAATGGGCACTGGTGGAGGGATGGGTACTTGACCACTGTATGACTGAAACGTAATCACGAAAGTGTATAAGTCTGTAACTGTATCTCACGGTGTTTCATCAAAAATTTTTAAAATAAATAAATACAAAATATTCCAACATCAATTCCACCACTGTTACACCTTCCCACCACCATTATTTCCAATTTTCCCAACCACCACCCAAGCCTGCCCCAAGAGCAGGCCCTCAGTGATTTATTTTGTATGGTTTGTTAGGATTAATTTGCTAACAGTGATCAAAAGAGATTTCCTTGGAAGAAAGTTATGTGAAGAGAGTTGTATCTCTCACCCTGGAGACTTCAAGCCCTTGTAGAAGAGATTACTAACACGCTGTGTGTTAATATATGTTAATATATTCCTCATCAAGATTGGTTGCCTTCTCCTTTACACCCGTCCAATGTGGTGTGCTACTCCTGGTACATCTGTGGTGTAGAGTTTGAAATGTCGCGTGGCCGCGAGTGCAGCTGCATGCTACAGGAATTCTAAATTTTGATGGGTGACAGAGCTGAAGTCAAACTGGTTTTTTGTTGTTGTTGTTGTTGTTTGTTTTTTGGGTCACACCTGGCAATGCACAGGAGGTTACTCCTGACTCATGCATTCAGGAATTACTCTTGGCGGTGCTCAGGGGACCATAATGGGATGCTGGGAATCGAACCCTGGTCAGCCGCATGCAAGGCAAATGTCCTACCCGCTGTGCTATTGCGGTCCCTGGAGTCAAATTTTTTAACAGGATGGTCAAATTTTTTAACAGGTCCCAGTCCCTGGAGTCAAATTTTTTAACAGGATGGTGACTTTCCTGATCTCGTCAGAGATTTTTTTTTTTTTTGGCTTTTTGGGTCACACCCAGCGATGCTCAGGGGTTACTCCTGGCTCTGCTCTCAGGAATTACTCCTGGCTTGGGGGACCATATAGGATGCTGGGAACCGAACCCAGGTTGGCCACGTGTAAGGCAAATGCTCTCCCCACTGTGTTATCGCTCCAGCCCCTCTTCAGAGAGTCTTATCTTTCCTTTTGTGGTGACTGGTGTAGCACTGTCTGGGGGTTGAACTCTGGGGGTGCTGGGGAGCACCCCACGGTGTGGTGCTAGCTGAGGCCCACACTCGTTGCAATGCTCCCACATACCTGGTGGCCTGGGGGGACGCACACAGGTTGTGCTGCTGGGGGCTCAATAAAGCATATCCATCCCCAGGGGCCACCCTGCATGAAGCCAGGCAGTGCAGGGAACTAAACTCGGGGCTTCCCGCACACAAGGCACCAAGTTCCCCCAGGTGCTGCACAGATGGGGGGCTTTGGGGGGGGAGGAGCCTGGGGAGCCATGGGGCTCTGGGTGGGGAAGTCCGGGGAACCACATCTGGGCTGCCACCAGAGGCACCTACGGGACCCCACGATGCCGGAGACCAAAGCACGTGCTCCAGCTTCGACTTATCTCCTTGGCTCCTTATTTCTGTGCTCAGGGAAATTTCCTGTTTATATTTGGTTTGGGGGACCCCACCCGGCAATGCTCAGGGGACTCTTCATGGTGCCAGAAATCAAACTCGGGTCAACTGCGTGCAAGGCAAGTGCCTTAACCCCTGTATTCCCTCTCTCCTCTCTCTCTCTCCCTCTCTCTCCCTCTTTCTTTCTCCCTCTCCCCCCATCCCTTATTATTTGGAGGTAGGGGGCTGAGGGGGTACATCCTGCTGTG